GTTATTGAATAGACAATACAATCATCATAATAAACCTTCTGTATCGTATCCTACTTTTCCATCTTTTACGTCATGATGAACAAGTGCTCAATCTCTCGAGAGAAAAAAGGTTGCCCATGCATTCAAAAACACAAAAAAGATGCGCATCAAAATGTTCAATTGTTTCACTTCACTTCTATTCTTTTTTGCTTTTCTTTGAAAACATTTTGATAATCTCGAATGTAAACGGAATCTTCTTCGGTGGGCGTCAAGATAGTTGCGGAAGGAAGAAAACAATAGGAGAACGTATGGATTCATTTTCGTTTTGCACTTCGGACGGTGCAGTTGGATCCGAGTTGTGGTGGAGGAGATGGATTTATTACGGTAGGTTTTGTGATGGTGTAAACCGCTAGGAGCGTAGAATATAGCTTTTTTGCTGTTGTAGGAAGAATCTTGGTGCAGAGCTCTAATTTTCTTGTTATAGGTTTAAAAAAGTTTACCTACCCTTTTTGAACTCTAAAAGTGTCTATCAAAAGAATTCGCGACAATTTCAAGTAGGTATCATTTTACATTTCCTTCCTCCGCAAAGGTGTGACCGGAAAAAAAATCTGCTCACATTAACAAAAAACGGTTCGGTTCTCTCTAATTTCATTTCCCTCTTTGTTTTTGTTGCTCTATTGCTCTTTTGCCGGCTGAGCACAAGAGATGCTCCTTTTCGCATGTGCTCATACAAAACTTTGGAATTTTCATCGCCGTTGATTCTCCATATTTGTTCAGCGCCCTTCTCTAACCATATTAGAGAACTACCGGTGTTTGTTGTGCATGCTCAACCGGCTGCCTGTTTGTTTTTACTTGAATCGTTCGTTTTCCTCTCTGAATAAGTATTAGAAGAATGAAGAAGAAGAGGTATTCAATTACCATACCTCAACACTCTCTCACTCTCTCTCTCTCTCTGCCCACTTTTGTATGTGCCGCCTGTTTTCGGTAAATTCTCACTTGTGATCTGTTAAGCTTATTGTCGCTAGACAGCATATAATGCATTCTGTCAGGTAATTTTTTCAGAATTTCAGAACTGAAACAATGAAATTTGCCAAGTAAATATGATATTGTAGTGTCTGAAATTCGAAAACTACTGGCTAAACGATGTATTTAAATTTTCAGGTCAACAGCTCTACAGTTTCTAACAACACTGTGCATTGTGAACGGTGCACCAATTCTACCTAATGTGCAAACTGGTTATGTGCCAATATTTGGAAGTAAGCTTCTATAGAATTTTATTATTACAAGGATCTCAATTTTCCCAAAAAAGAAGACTTTTCTAAACATATGAAATTAATATTTTGCAAACATTTATTGCAAGCATCGATTTTCAGTTATGGTCCCTACTTGCACTTTGAGCTCAATTATCTGAAACATTATAAGAGATAACAAATATTGGCCAACTAATAAAATTTTCATCTAGTTATCATCAATATTTTAACAGTTGATTAATTTTTGTTATCTCTCATGAAAATTGAGATAATTGAGCTCAAAGAATAAAGTGGTTTTCTATTTGAGTGTTTACGGTATTTTAAAAGTTCCAGTTGCTTTTTTTTAATGCTCCTGATAATTTTTTAATGATTTTACAAACATTATATTAATTAGCTAATTTTTGATATCTCCATTTAAGTTTTAGATAATTGGGATCAAACTGGCTCTAATGAAAAGTTTTTAATTTTTCAGGAATACACATCCAAATTCAATTCAGTCTTTATTGAGCATCTTACACAACCATCCTCTATTATATTTTTTTTTGCAAAAAAATTGTAAAATTTTCAGACCGAATAACACTGGAACCCATCACCTTCACTTTCACAACTCCACCTCCAAAAGCTCACAATCTTCTGAAAAACTTCCCAACGTTGAGGCCATTCTCATCTTCTGAATTCATGAGTGCTCTACCAGGACCACCGATTCAGAATAATTTTCCACATAATAATCACATCCAGGGTATGATACAACTAAATTATGGTTTCATTCGAAATCAATTATACGATTTAGAATTCAAGTACGAAGTGCAAATGCCAACTCAACCCCGGCCGTTTGTAGCACCAACACCAGCATACAGTCAGACACAGATTTATGTGAGGAAATGAATACTGTATGAAAAATGTACTGGATATTTTAGAATTCCATGCAAGCTTCTCTCCAACAAGATGTGTATGCAACATATCGTACTATGTGGAAACAAATGACCGATACTTGGTTGAGGGTAACTTTTTGTGAATGATATTTTCAGTCATCACAGTTTTTCAGCTACGCAGTCATCTTCTCTCAGAAGGCGTTGAACAAGACTGGCACGACTTTTGGCGAAAATTCACTGGAACTGTGGAGCCTTTCATGACCACCATCAGCAATCAAGTTGGAAAGTTTCTGAATGTCTTCTTGAAACATCAGCACGAGAAAGAGGTCAAGGAATCGACGTGGGGATGAATGGAAACCATTTTTGATGCTTTGATCTAAATATTTTGAATTTGTAGACGTGTATTTTACCTTTATTTATCGTATTAATTATTTTGTAATTGAATACATTTTTTGATACCCAAGTCAAGATCCAGAACTATTTTCCAATCATGGAACCTAAAAAATCTTCCAGTAACACAATGGGCTCAAATGAGAGCTTCTCATTTTCCGGTGGGAACTTTTGAGCGAAAAAGTTCAGCAAGTCCAAATTTCAGAATTCCACGCTCGCCATGCTCCTGTCGACACATTTACAGGATTCAGTGACAAGTACAATTTCACTGTGTCATGTTTGATGCTGTTAACTTTTGGAGTTGGACGTGAGCAAGATCTGGAAATTTTTTAGAGTATGGAAATGTTCAGTTTCAATTCTTTCTATAATCCCTTGTTGGACTTCCAGCGCCATCGGTGTCGTTTGGACAATTGCATTCTACAGATGGTTGGGTATTCATGGTCAGAAAATGACAAGAAATGAGGTAACCCTACTTGTTGTTTTTTGCATAAAAATTAAAGATGAGCAGTTGATGTATTTGTTTTTTCTCAAAATATTTTTTTCTGGAAATCCTTTCCGATCGTCATTAGCGAAAATTCCCAGAGGAAAAAGAAAAACATTCTGCTATAATACCGTTTCATCGGATCAGACTTATTTGTGTATTGGTTTGCAGATAGTCTTCTTCGAAGCTGCGAACCTTTTGGAAGTGGATCCTCCAGTCTTTCGTTTTGGACTGCCTGAAATCGCAGATGATTGTCTGACACCAGGAGACGGAGAGCAAAGAGAACACCCACAACCTCAGACTCTATGGGATGCTCTTTTCACGGATGAGAAGAAAATTCGAATGGACAGATTCTACAAAAAACATTATGGAAGTGTTCATGCAACTGCTTCGAAAGCATTGATGGTTGGTTTTCATAAATTTAGACCCTACACCCTTGCACAAATTTCGTTTCAGGAATACGAATTAGAGCAAGCAAAGGAGAAGGAGAAACTACTGAAAAAAGTGCCTCCTCCGTTGCCGACGACTTCCACTTCTAAATCCCTCTAATACAGTTTTTTTTCAAAAAGATAAATATTTCCGATTCTTAAACCTTCATAAATTCTTGTCAAACATCGTTTCCTTTAATCCTTGTACGAAAAAGTTTTTCTGTAAAGAGAGAAAAAGAGTTGGGTGATTAGTATTCGGGGGTCTGTGTGCAAATAATGACGAATTTTAAGATGAAGGAAGATGCAGATGGGAAGGCTTTCCAAGATCTCCCATTTCTTCTTCTTTCTAAACTTTTAATTTCACCCTTGATCCCTATTTCAAAAAAGGGAGAAGATGATGAATGTTTGCACGTAAGACTCGCGAGGTCCTGGCCTTTTTTCAAATTTTGACATTTTAGAGTTCAAACTGTTTTGTTGGTGTTCTAGTTACGGGAATCGAGTACTGTAGTTTGACTTTCGTACCATAAAACATGTAATAGAAAAGCCCTCTAACTTTTATTTTTAAGCCTATTTTTCTCGGTCACTGTCAAAGATATAAAAAGTTGTCTACTGATAAATTGTGGATCATAATATCAGAAGTGTTTTGTCAGTTGAAATATTTTTGATATCTTGCATAGGAATTGAGATAAACGGGCTGGACCTTGGCAATGTGGGGCCCTTCTTTTAAGGGTTTTACGGTATTCTGATAATGGTCCTTTTTGAAACACAGTTCTTTTTACGCCTTTATTTTTTTTGGGATATTTTTACAAAATCCATGAGCCATATGATTAAAAAATGGATTAAACGATCGCATAAACTATTCAAAGCATCCAGTATTTTCTTAGGCCCAAATCAAACACTTACAGGGTGGCTCACAGTTACTCAAATTTGGAGTGCGAAAATTCAAATAATTCATGGATAAACTGGACAAATTTCAAACTATTTTATCAACTTTGAGCTGAGTTTCTCATGAAAATCACAAAGAAACATTTCACCATTCATCTCTGGAAAATCACAAGAATACCTAAACTTGAGGAATCGCTTTAAAAATGACAGTAGTTTGAATCAAACGTGAAATTATATTTCTACCAATTTTTGTGCTTCCAAGATACTCATGTCTAAAGATTGACCCGTTTTTATCAGTCCGGGTAGTTTCAACCATGTTTGCCCTTTTGATGATCATGAGAACATCTATCGAATACCAGTTCAGACTTGTTCCATGATTCACCAGAATGTATTTTTCTCTGGAATTTGTACTCCATTTTTTTTCTCGCCTCTCCTCAATTTCCCCCATTTTACTACGTTTTTTCCTCTTCTAGCCGCCAAGTAATTTGATTCCGGAAGAAGGGGAAAAAGAAATTGAACAGAAGAAGAAGAACACATCAACAATTTTCCTTTAGTTGTTCACTTTTTTCGAAATCCTCCTCATTATTTACCGTGACGTCTTCATTCTCTCTGTCTATTCATTTTTCCGTTAAACTCAAAGTTCCAGTAACCTCAAACAAGAAGGAAAATATTTTAAAAATGTGGATCAGAACAAATAAAAAAGAGAAGATCTACGTGATTTACCCAGAAATGGGACCAAAAACTGCCTCTGGCCATTTCTCTGGGATTGTGCTAAACCTAGACAATCCGGGAAAAAATGGGAAAATTCTCTGTCAAGCGGGGGCTGCTGGATTCCTCAAATATTCATATTCATCCTCTTTTCTTTCTCTCTTTGTTTTTCGTTTTCATATTATTGCGAATTTTCATAATTTGACTTTAGCTCTTTCCGTTTACTTGGAAAACACTTCCGTTTTCACAATTTACCCTTAGGAAGTTTAGAACTTGTGGGACAGAAAAACAGAAATCCGAAATGTTTCGCAAACTCCGGATTATTCTAGATTGCAGCTTCCTACTGTTGGATATTTCAGTCATAAACCCGTTTTTAGCGAAAATTCCGGGAGACTATCTGAATTCTAAAATTAGGATGAGCTGGGTAGGATTACATTGAAAACTTTCAATATTTTCACTGTGATTGTTTTTGATGTTTATGAAAAACTGTTCGATGCAAACAAAGACTAGAATTAATATTTCCTTTTCATTTTCAAAACTTACTTTTTGAAAGTTTGCTCATCTTTCAATATCCAAAAACCACAAAATTTAAGATTTTTGAATGAAAAAAAAATCGCTAAAATTCTCGAATGCTCATTCTTAAATTTTTCTGATTTTCTTTGTTTCTAAGCCAAATTTTCATCCTTTTCGTCCGGTTTCCAAGAATTTTGACCAGTAGAATTACGACATGGGAGAAATTATTCATGAGATTGGTTCAGGTGTAACAGAAAAAATAATGGGAAAAAGTTGAAAAGAAGAAGAAGAGTCTGGATAATTCCTCAAATATATTCTTTTAAAACAACTCAATGCCGATGTTTTTCAATTAAATACGTTTTACAATTGGTATAATTAATACGTTTTTAAGATGCAGTAAATCCTGTATTAGAAGGGTCGTCGGAAGAGCCTTCTATTACAGAAGCTTTTCAATTAGAAGAGCCCCTTCATTTTTCCGGCCATTTTTTTCCAAGTCTTTTCAGCAAAAAATTTTGCGAATTTTTGTTCAAATTTCATGAATATCGATTAATTTCACCAAGATTTGAGCAACTTGGAATGACAAATTTCCTGGAATTTATGGAATTTTCAGTATATTTTTTACTGAAAACGTACGGAAATGTATATGCTCAAACGACCCCCTCTATTACAGAGGTCCTTCGACTTTTCTAACTAGGGAAGGTTGTTTGTGGGGTATGGGACTTCGATATGAGACCTATATCATTCGAAAGCTGAGGATGAGACATTTTCAAATATATATTCAAATAATTTTGCTGCGGACTTACCAGTTTCGAGAAAATCGAGTTTGAAATCTCAATTTTGAAAATGCAAAGGGGGGACCCCATGGTGACTTAAAAAAAAAAATTTTTTTTGAAAAAACATGAAAAACTTTCTGAATCATACTGTGTTCTTTAAAACTGTTTAAAATTGTGATTGAATGCGTGTGAAAACTATTTTTGGGTCATTTCTTCCAACCACTTTTTGACTTGAAAATGTCTCATCCTCAGCTTTCGAATGATATAGGTCTCATATCAAAGTCCCATACCCCACAAACAACCTTCCCTAGTAAGACTCTCTCGGTGGGCCCTTTTATTATAGGGAACTTCTCTATTAAATTCATACTTTTCTATGATTTGCATTTTTTTTAAATAATCCCTTTATCAATCCAAGCGACCTGTCGAAAGTCGAACAAAATGACTCCCTGTAAACTGATCCAGACAGAAGAAAGTGAGAATTTTTTAACATTTGGTGTTGTGTGGTTAAAAGAAAAAACTCTCTATCTTTTGTTGATGATTTCACTTTGAGCATGTCAGTTGGTGTTCGAAGAGACAGAAATATTGAGTTATAGATCATATTTTCTGTTCCAGAACTTTCAAATTTTGTACTCCCTCCAGATCCTTCTAGATCCATTTCTCTTTTCGCTCTCAAAATTAAAAAAGTGCTCTCTTTCTCTCTTCAGATTCATTCCTTCCGATATTCATTTAGGTGGAAACTGATTCAAAAGGTTTCAGCACTCCCACATACGATTCTTGATCATTTCGAGAAAAAAAGAAGGAAAAATATAACATTTTTTATTTGAAAAAGATTTATTGGATGTGTAGAATTTTCCTATTCTAGTCCCCCTGAATTCGTTGAGCAATGATGTCGAATTCTACACGCCATTTTTTTTGAGGTCACTGATCTGGAAATGAATGTTCGCGGGGTCAAAATGAATTATGACAAGACCCAGATATAGAGGATTTTTTCTTTTCATTCCTAATGAAAAAATCGCAATTATGTTTTGCTCCCGAAAAGAATTGAAACATTTGCTCAAGTGGTTTTCGAGCATCCGAGAGCTTTCTCTTCCGATGAATCAGTGAATTAGAGCGCTTCCGAGTTTAGAACCAAATCTGATTAGTCCAAGTGACACTTTGGAAAATCCCTCGGGGTCCGAAAATCCCTTGGTTTTGGACTATTTTGGATTTTCTGAAATAAAAAAAACAAAGGAAACTAGGTTTTAGGTCAGTTGGAAAGTAGGGTGTCTGCGTCATTCGGAAAGATAAGTTCGGAGAAATTTTGACAGCTGTTCTAGAGATGATTGAAGGTCTGAAAAAATAAGACTTAATGTTCCAAAGGAGAAAAATTTTTTTCAAGTCGCTAGGTTTGAAGTTTGAAAAAACGGCAGCTTAGTTTTTCTTCTAGACATTAATTGTAGTTTCTGATGGCATTTCAATAATTTTATTTTTAAAGTCATTGAACCAGAATTGCTCATCGGGGATCAAGCGTGCAGATTTACTGTCTCTCGTTCAAGCTGACTAGACCCACCAAGATGACTATTTCAGAAAATCTTGAACTTGAGTATTTTTGTTTTGAATGGATTCATAAAATTTTGTAAATCTTAATACTTGAGAAGGCTCTCTATATCTTTGTGTTTTCAATTGTGTTTTGGTTTGGTTCAATGGAATCTTGGATCTAAAAACAAAAAGTCTCAAATGAAAAATGTTACCTCAAAATATAGATCCTTCAATCTGTCAAATTGCAAATTCTGCAAACCCCAATATACATCCAAAGCCAATTTCAAAATTTTTCTAGAATCCCTCCTTTACATGCACTTTAAGCTCAATTATATCGGTTCCTTTAACAGATATCAAAATTGGTCAATTGATAAATTGATTATAATAATGTCAACAATTTTTTATCAATTGAAATTTTTCTCTCTTTTACAGAAGCCGAGGTAAGTGAGCTCAAAGTTTGGGTGTAAGAGAGGATACGGTAAGAGAGGATTCGGTAGGCTGCTCAAAAAACGCTTTGATTCAAAATTTCGTTTCGCGCCTAAATTGGGTTTCTTCTGTTTTCTGGACCTAATTAAACGTTTTTTCTCTAATAGAAGCAAATTGTTAAGATTTCCAAATCCGAAATCAAGAACCATTGCCTCTTCATTTTATGGTAACACTCTAACTATCCCCATTCACAGAAACCTTTTGAAACATCACATTTTCAGCTACTCCCTTACTCCTT